GTGCAACGTGGTTTAATTTATTACAAGGTGCGAAAACTACCAGCTGCTGGTCACCATTAACAGGAGCACTTGTTTACAAAAAAATACACTGAATAAGATGCTGAGTGTAAATTTAGATTAGAGATGTTTGTTTGTTTTAATGCCCCAAAGAATGAGGCTTTGTCTGTACTTAATTGATGCACGGCTGAGCTCCAACGGCTCATTCATTTTTTATTAATCCCTGTCTGTCCGCCTGTCAAGCGACTAAAACAACAAGTTGGCTTTACTCACCGTGAAGCGCAGGCTACCGGAGATTTAACGGCGTCGCTCTTCTGTCGATCAGACCGGAGGATTTGGCATCAAAGCATTAATGAACTGATCATATACACTAAAAAGCTTCACTGATTCCTAAAACTGGGGCTTTGGAGAAGACGGGCAGCTGAAGAGAGAGTCGGTGCCAAAGCGAGCGACACAGGCGATGAGGAGGGATCCCATTCAACTGGAGGGAGCGCCCGGTGAAGTCATGACGGGGGAAGCCTCTGAAGCTGTGGAAACATTTTTCACTGACACGGTCTAAATGAAGAAAAGCACCGGAACGTCCCTGATGAAAAACTCCGAGCTTTGCGCGTAACAGAAACCCCCGGTTTGCGACAAGACTGAGCAAAAACACCAAATCATGACCAAAACACTGGGATGTGCTTGAGGCAAGGAAGGGAGGAGACTTCACCGCATCGTGAAAGCTCTGATTGGTGGGAGGGTTTTTGCGCTGTGGATTTGCCCGATTTGCGTGAATGGCATGTCATAGAAGCCCCACCTCACCTGAGTAGTGCAGGTTCAAACGCGGTTCGTTGTACAATTACTCGTCCTGCTCTTGGCGGTTGAGACTGTTTAGCCTATGACACATGAAGCGTGTTACGTTTTGTGATGTGAGCCAACTTCACACCCTTAAATCATAACCTGGACGCAAATACTGCTGAATTTTTCACGTAAAGTTTCAAAGGCTGACCTAAAAACATGGAGATATTTTAACTATAATATAAATTTAGATCCTTAAAAATTGTTTGAATTTTTTTTTTTTAATCTGACATCATGAAATAATCCCTAATATCGCTGAACTAGAATGCGAGGTAGTCTGATTTTCGATTTTGATTATTCTATTTGTTAGCGTGAAAATCAAAGATCAGGCTTGCTTGTGATCTTTCTATTTGATGACACGATGCTGCCACCTGCTGGCCATGAAGCAGCATTTCTAAATCGAAGCAGCTGCTGCAGAATCGGAGGCTTCTGTCAACTTTACACATTAAACTCTGAGGAAAGAAGTACTTCAGTTTACCTACAAGTACTAACAATGCCCCTACAATTAAAATAAAAAAATAAAACGCATACAAGCTAACATACTAGCTTGTCCCAGAAGTATCCTGTAATCCTTCTTCTTATACGGAGAGGGAAGGGAACCGTTTAGGATTTTCC